TTCTGCTAGTTATGAGAAGCGACGCGCCTTGGAGCTCGGAATTCAAACCTCGAATCAAGGATTTGGATATGGGGTCCAGATATAACGACCGTCAAAGAAGACTCGAATAGCACTTGCGTGTGCGGGTATAACGACATGGAGGTTGCGGAGGGTTGCGGACGGAAAATATACTGCACGTGAGCGTTCTCTTGCTTGACCACCAGCGCTAAATCGCCCACGATTGATTCAGGACATTTCTCTGCGCGCTTTCCTACGTTCCGAATCTTTGGAATCTAAATGCTTTGTGTACCACGCTTCCGCCGACTCAGCGCGAAGATGTCTTCAGCGGGTGCTATCCTGCCCCATAATTATCAAAGAAAGATGACGGCCCGGTGGTCACAGAATCGGCTCGAGTCACTGCCGCACTCATGAACAGGGGTTTAATAGGGAAAATTCGGAGCCCACACTGCTGTCGGACATCTTGGCTTGTTGTCGTTGGTCCAAGTCCAACACGTTGAACTCTTCATTTCTTTGCTGGGAAGCGCTTGCATAACCCAGGGTACCCTCTTATCGTTGCGTGAACTGTCCTTCTCCACCCGCGACGTCTCACCTCACGGGTCTGCTGAAGGATTGCTACCGAGGCAAAAGAGCACGTAGAACAGCTATTCGGTGATCCGGATGCATACGCCCATCTCAGTCGAGAGGACCTCGAAGAGAAATTCAAACCGAAGCCCTTCAAGCTACCTCAGGGGTTAACGGTGGACGACATCGTCGCAGAATTTGACAATCTACAATATGATATCCCTATTGTCTGTCGACGTGTATAACCAACATCGTTTCAGCTCTCCAAACAGCAAATCACGCCAAGGAGCCAGAAATTGTCTTTACCCGACAAGTCGTGTTCTAATCGTCGGAGCTCTCCCTACAGTCATCTTCGAGGTAGGTTACAGTGAATCCCTGCCTGCCACTTTGCAGTTGGACGCGTCCGAATGGCTCAACAGCCTCGCCGATTTGTACGCCGTGCGTTGCTTTCCAACTACCGGCGGCCCTTGTTTTCTTTTTTCGCCGGCTTCTTGTTGTCGTCTCGCGTACGAGAAACTGGGTCACTGCAAGGAGGTTCGTCCATATCCTGCGCCGCGATATATGCTGAGCACGAAGCTTCGATGATTTATTCACCTTCGTCTACGTCTAATCTCGTGCATGGTCACAGCCCCTCCTTATCCTCAGATATGCTAATTTGCTATATGTTGCGGCCCGGGATTGTCTCTACGGCTGGAACAATTCTTTTTGACAAACGCTGGACAGATGAAGGTTAAGCGTCGATGCAAACTTGCAAGCTATGTGTGAGAATGATACATTTATCATGTCATCTAGCGACTGGTGCGATATGCTAAAGTTGCGAGTTTGCGCACTGACACAGTTACCGAGCGCTAGGGCCGGGCAACCGAAGGATTTAAGGTACGTCTGGATTTGGAAATGTAAAGCTCACATTGGATAGAGGTAACTAGCTAACCGGTCAATATCCCGTGCAAATTCAACTTGTGCATTTGATGCCTCAGCCTCGCGGCGAGGGCCCACAGCTGTTCATCGCGGGGTAAGGGCGACTAATCGGGGTGCTAAGGTCATTCCTTGGCACCGGCTGACAGTTGAGGGAGTAAACATACCCTCGTGCTTTCAAAAATTCCCGTCGGGAAAGCATGGTGTCGTACCAGCTGAACTTACCCCAGCCAAGACCGCAGTACTTCTCAAATAATTCGCGATCTTCTGGACGGATGCTGTCGCGTGCTCTGGCTCCAACTCGCCGGTGGGGAGTACAGCCGGATCGGAGCGCAGCAAGTGGAATCGAAATGCGCTTGGAAGGCATTATGGACATTGTTGCCGCCGCAGCCGCCTCGAGTTTATCGTCTGGAACGAGAAGTTGGAGGGCAAACAGTCCTGTTGGGACGAAACAGAGTGTCTTCCGCTTAAACGAGGCAAGGGATCATTTTGCTCGAGTAAAGGCAGTTGCCGGCCAGCGTTTGTGTCTCCACGGAATCTGGACATGAATCGTAGAAGTGGAACATTGGGAGTTTCCCCTGCTACAGTAGGATCCCCGTAGTATGGAAATTGGAAGCCTGACATTCGAGATTCGACGGGGCGGTTCGTTCCGAAGGTGGATTCCATTTCAATTTTTTTTAAACATCTGGGATGGCTATGCGTAAAATGCGCTTCAGGTTTGTTGCTACTAGTATCCCGTTCCCGACCTATGTTTTGAGATTCCCTGCTGTTGTTGTCGTCCACTACAGCAAAGTTCGCACGGTTTGACTTTTCGGCTGCGCGAGTTCAAGTGTATTAGAGTGCTCTTACCAACCTCAGGCTGAGAGCGCGTTTACCTCAAATCTTAGTGCGCTCTCCGAGTTTACTCGTTTTGGCAGATTCAAATGCAAGGGTCATTAAATTTGGAAGTTCCAGCTGGGAAGATTGCTCAAAGATTACATATGCTAAATAAAAACTACAGTAATGATATCATACATATGCTTGGAAGCTGAAGGAAAGATACAGTAGAGACTCATGGAGACAAAAAAATGATAGATCAACAATCTTTATGCGTTGCGTGAGGTCAACGGGGACCGCTCTCCTCTCTTCTGAAACAGAGGTGAGACAAACGCACCATCGATAAGCAGAAGCACCTACCACGATAGTCTGTTCAGGTGTCGCCAAAGCTTTTCTGGGACCAGCCGCATTCTTGATAATCGGAACCTGCTTCAAGTCCGATGAGAATCATGTGAGGCGAGGGAAAGCATGAGTTTTACCTCTGGGATATTCTCGCCGTTGACCTCTTTCCAGAGTTGCTCAAATTCGGCTTCTTCGTCGACCAGAATGGTACTATTCGGACCCAGTACGACGAGAACAGGACCGGTTCCACGGGTGACCTGCGAGAATATCAGATATGTGTAGCAGGGGAGCTCATGTTCGCGTACATTTGTGTTCACTGACTTGGAAGACTTGAACTAGAGGGATAAGCTGCTGTCAGTCCATATTACTGATCCAATACGCCATAACTGACTTCGAAGGCTGGCTTCAGAGAACTCGGGCCAGTACTGGAGCCTGTGCTCGTCGTGTCGGCCCACGAGGCCTGAGAGAATTTGGTTACTACATTTTCGTTTGGAGAGTAGGGAGCTTCACCTCAGATGTACAGATTTTACTGCCGAATAGTAGCTCCTCCAGCTCATTCTCGATATGACTTGGACTTTGCAGGTTGGATGACCAGTAACCCTGAAATGCCTTGTATTTAGGAAATTGACAGTTTAAGAGGTAAGTATACACACGGGATCGGTTGAGCTCTGTTGTCGGGGTCAAAGGAAAGGTTAGTTATGAGCAATGCATGCAGCCAGGAGTGCGAGACCTGATAAAAATCGAGGACGCGAACAGGCGGGGTTCTCGGGTCACTCCTCGTCAACACGCCGGGTTTGAGCGGACTGAGTGTCTGCAAATCGAATGACGGAATCTAGAAAAATATGGGATCGAATTTCAAGTCCAGACATGAATACCTAATTCATACCGCGGATGGGGAAAAGTGGCAGGGAGAACTTTCCGTCGACGAGGGAGAGCTGGCGTAGTCGGCTATCTGGAGGTCTCGTAGATTTTGCAGGAACACAAGATCTAGGGATAGGCAGTCAGGATCACCCACAATAGGGTATCGAAGAGAAAATACCGGTTTTTTCGTTCGATAGAGGTCGAGTCTCCGTGGTCTTTCTTTCCGGCTTCGACGGCGCCTTGCTGTGGCGGCATAAGGGCTGGGAAAACCGGAACAGGTGCGCCGAACGTACACCTTAGTGGACGCCGCTACCTTTACAAGAGGGATGAAGAAGAACCGAAGCCAATCCACAGTCTTGTCTGTGTTCTTGTCGAGTAGCTCCCATACGTGGCCAACGACGACTTGGAATCCTGTCTCGACCGTCACGGCGTTCTTCGTTAGGCGCGGATCAATTGCGTTCATGATTTGTTGGAGAACATCGGGGGACAAAAAATAGGCTCTAGTCGTCTGAACTGTGTCAGACCTTGCCGTGCACTGCATAGAACGAACGCACGGCGATAAAATCAGCTGGTTTCCCATCGGCCTCTTCGTCCAGCATAAGGAATAAGGCGAAACTGAGAATTTCCTTTCCCCTAGTTGCTTTGGAAACGCGAGGAGTCGTTCCAGTTGCCGGCGTGGCATCGTTTCGGAAAATCGTGTTCCAATCGCAGTCCAGGATGAGGGGGAGCGATGGAGGCTCGTAGTGGGTACTTTTCAGAAACCTGGAAACGGCGCGCACAATTTGGAAAGGGGCGAGACCCATGGCGAGAAGGTAGTGGTGGGAGAGAAAGAAAAAGTGCCAGCAGAAAAAAGGGAGCGGTTGGTTCAATACATTTGATCTATCGTGACGTCGATCTCCTTCTAAATAGTTCCCACGGCGAGTCTAATATGGCATCTGATGAGAAGTTTGATTCCACGGAATCGCACGCAATATTTAATTGTGAAGTAAAGGGAAGGGGAAAAGAAATCCGACATCGCGTGAAGGACGATAAGTTTCTGGTGCTATCGGTTGTACCCCCGAGTTATAGCTCATGTGTCATGTATCGACAGAAAAATCCAGACTCTCATCGCCACTACAGTATATACCCGGTACTTGAGCTAGACCCATTACTTGAGCCAAGCTGAAACAACCCATTCTGCATGATACCTGGGCACAATACCTGTTCTAGGGTATGAGATTATATTTATGAGGAATATATAGCTCGGAATATGAGTGGATAATGGCGGGACAGCAGGGCAAACGAATTTTTTCTGCTTATTTGTTTGGCTGTGTTGCTTCACTTCGTTACTTGAGCCAAACCAATTTTTGTTATATCTCGTGCAATTCTACCTCGATTGGGCTAAATTTTGGACAGTAAACGGTCATAATTGTGAGAATCAGGGTCCATAAGAAGTTTGGGCCCCAAACTCAACCAATAACGGTTGGCATGCGAATCAAATTCTGATGGCTCAAGTACCGGGTATATACTGTATAGTCTAGTGGTAGGATGACCCGCATGATTTGATTTTCGACCGCGGGAGGCGGAGGTTCGATTCCTCCTAGTAAGGGTGCTCAATTCTAACTTGCTGGCAACTTTCAGAAATAAATAATTATTAAGCGATTTAAGCAAGTGTAAGCAACGGTTAAGCGAAATTTTGAGAGCGAGAGAGTCCTCTCCCTTAGTGCCTGCGTCCTCAACCACCAGAACCATCTTGAAGGGCTCGAGGGTTGGCTTGGGCATCCGTACAGAGGGACGCTCGTATATTAGAAAACCCAGCCCAGGATCACCCATTTCTCGCTTAAACGTACACTCGCTTTAATAATTATTTTATTGGTTTGAAAGTTGCCAGCAGGTTAGAATTGAGCACCCTTAGTGATGGCAATTTGTGGCCGGGCGCGCTGGGGATGTGTCTCCCGCGTCCGCGAGATTCTTCAGTGCATTCCCCTAGTGCGATACTGAGTTTCACCGAAGCCCAAAGCTTCATACTTTTTTATCTCCATATTTTTCTTTTGCGAAGTATCAGAGTTAGAAAACAGGTTCCGCCATTGAGGTTCCCGAGCAACTTGAAATCTTGGTTTCTGATCCGGTTTTGATTGTTAAATCAAAAATTGCAATCAAAATTGTCTCTCTTATTATGCGATTCAACATATTATATGAATCCCAAAGACGAAACTAGAGCTACATGTGAGATGGTATAAAGGGCTGCGGGCTAAGGCACAATCTATGCCCAAATTTCTGCGTTCAATGCGCTTCCACCGCCTGAGCCGCAAACTGATAGTCCATATACCCTTTGGGATCGACACTCCCAGGGGCATAATAAAGTGTACGATTCCCAACATCAAGCACAATATTATGAACGAGTCGGTACGTCAGGTCAGGCTAGCGGGAGAGTCAAAACTGCGTGGACGACAGTGATAGATTAAAAACTCACGTTAGCGATATACGAGCGGAAGAACACGATCAGGTCGCCCTTGTTCTCGGCGACAGCGAGGGTGGTCTCTAGTCTCTTATAAACAGATGCTATAACAATTCTTACCTCGTACCTCGGTTTGTTATAGGTGGCCTCCGGTGTATAACCACCGGCACCAGATATAGCGGATGAAGTCGTTGGACTGGCCTTCTTTGGCCTCCGCCGCGACGGTCACATTGGGATCTACGCGGGGCTCAGCGACATGCAGGTACGTACGCGAGCTTGAGATAGCGGTCGCAGATGGGCCGGCTCAGATCAAGGATATAACTCAGACAAACAACCGCTACAAACCCGATTAGGCATGATTGGGAAGCATTTCGATGGAAGTCGGTACACACCAGTTAGTTTGGCAAGTAGTTTGCAGTAAAAAATAATTTCACATCATCATCATTACAGGTGTCCAATTGATAGGATTAGAGTGCCAGCGACGGAGATTAAGCGTTCGGTAAAGCCCCCAACCTCTTCAAGCTTGCGTAGTGCTGGCTATATATCGACCTTTCAGTCTTATTTATTTGTTCCGTTTCCTCAGTTTCCCTACCCTTCTGGAATCTGCAGTGCAGTTTTAGATCCAATTCAGACCTGATTCTATGTTTATTATGGGTATTGTGACAGTGATCTATTGAGTCAAACACAAGTGGAATAACTGTAATCACAGTGCCGGTGCCGCCATGCACTTAATGAAGAAATTCCGCATCAGTTGAACGCAGAACGGCAACAAACCGAAGCTGCACAGCCTGTTGCACTCCTGTTGCCACGCGGAAACTGCACCGCGATCTGCGTCTGATCGCCGAGCTGCCCCTGTCGCAGACTCAGTTCTTTTCGGTCCTTATTTATTTCGACAGCGATGCAAGAGGATGCAAGTCCCGATGTTAGGCCCGAAATCGAGTCGAAGGAGAAAATGGGAAACAAACTGCCATGATTGGTTTCAGCTTGAAGGGAGCCGGCAAAAAGAAAAATTAATGTCTTCAACTACCGACCATCAACTGCCACGGCCCCAACCCCGGGCGTCAATCTGTCTTTGATTTAATTTCTAGAATCTACTGTGTTAGGACGTGATGCTACTGATGTGACGTGAGAAAGATCAGGTCTTTAACTTTTCGTTGAGCATTCTATGCATATCTACCGAGACCCACATCGCGCCTCACGCGTCTCCACCTCTCCCTCATCCCAATGTCCTTGACGCCTACCATCTGTCGGGTCCAGGTCAACGATACAGACTCCGCTGTTCAATACGGCTTTGGCTGGTTCTCGGCAGACCCAAGCCTCTTGACCCTGGGCAATTTTGGCCCAATTTATAACGGAACTTCGCATGCCTCCTCGAGCAACTCAACCCTCGCCTTTTCATTCAATGGTGCAGTAAAATTTACCTGTTGCCATCCTCGACTGAACATGTCTGCACAGGGATGAGTATACATGTCCAGGGGACGGTGGATGTTTCTATCGATGCGAATAATGTTACGGATCCGACATGGACTTGTTTGATCAATGATATCCAGATCCCTTCGTCATCATTCCAGTTCTACGAAACTAACTGGTCGCTGTGCGGCCAGGATAAAATCGTCACAGGTTTACATACATTGACAATTCAAGTCACTTCGAGAGGGCAGCCATTTTATTTGGACAGCCTTATTTACACACCGACGCTGGACGCTGTATTTGACTCTGCATTGCTCATATACCCGAACGACGACCCCGCGCTCAATTATAGCGAGGGGTGGAAGGAAGACGGGGAGATGGTAACGCAGACGGAAAACGCACAGGTGAACTATACATTTCATGGTGAGCTATTCCGATATACATCAGGAGCGCGAACCTAACAGCACTCACAGACACATCGGTCACCATGATGGGACACTTGAACCCCTCATATGCTATCAACACAACTTCTGGGAGCTACTCGATCGATGGTGGAGCATAGGTGTCTTTCCCTCTGCTGGGCCTCTCGTCCAACAAATCAACTATCCAGTTCAACCAGGTTATATTCACGACCCCCACGCTACCCAGTGGCCCTCATACTCTTGGCGTAAAGTATGGCGGCAATGCCAACCACACTCCACTCTTTCTGAAACAGTTATGGGTCACGAACACCACGGCTCTGGCCACTCAGACAATGGCAGGTCCTTCGGCTCCTGCGGAATCTCCAAACGGCACGTCTGGCAGACGTTCGAAAGCTGGGCTCATTGTCGGCGGGATTGTTGCTGGCGTCCTCATGCTGATACTGCTGGCCAGTATCTTCCTCTGGCATCGCCGGCGGGAGCGACACAGCAAGGAGGAGATTTCATCAGACCTATACCCCATGGCCATTGCCAATGCACCCCGGCCTTTGGCATCCCTTCCTAGTATATCCTCCTCGCAGGCGAACAGCAAGGAGAGGTTGGCACACAAGGGGACGCCCGCTACTCCTTCCAGGCCCCCACTTGAACGTCCAGCAGTCTCCGTTCGGGTCTTTATTCAGTCCGAGGATAGCGGAGTCCGTCTCCCATTGGCGACACCTGTGGAGATTGTAGAATTACCGCCCGGCTATAGTTTCACCTAATACACAAGCTCACGTCCGTAATATAGCCAAAAAAACAATAAGGAAAATTATATTTAGATCATATTCAAGCGGCCTAGGAGAGAAATTATCACAATTGGGTACGGAGGAAGTGACTGATCTGTCTGTCTATGAAGAGAACAAAGTTTGTCAGGCCAGTCAATCTGAGTTTTAATAGGTTTTAATTTACGAACGAAAAACTTGGGCCACAATTACCTCCAACTCGGAAATCAAGGCGCGCTTGCAAAAGGGAGCTCACCACGTTTCGTTTTCGATTCGGACTACTGCCTGGATGAAGAAGAGGCCAGAATGTGCTGGAGACAAGCGGCTTTCCCCCCCCCCCCTTCTTTTTTGATCCGCTTCCCAAAAGGAATGTGTCCCGATTTGAATGTTTGGGCCGCACCGCCAAACAGCGCGTTTTCTGCATACTCGCCCGCGTCTACTTTCTGCTGAGCCGGCACTCTGCTACATCTCTAGCTATCTTTGCCTTCATATACTACCATCTCCAGCTCTAACGGCCAGTCACGGGCCAGTATACGCCATGGGGAACCGCCGCATTAGTGCCGACTTGAAAGATGCCGCTCTGAGGCTTTGGGATCTTGGGTGGGAGGTGTGGTCCCCCGTGCCAGTTTTGCCTGTGGATCCCAACATCAAGACATTATAATTAGAAGCCAGTGGAGAAGCACGTCATTTGGACTCTCGGACCCGTTTGACTCGAGACAAACGGTTGTTGGATTGTAATATAGATTGACGGTACCGCTCTTTGACTCCCAAAACTTGGACGATACAGGGATCTCACCATGGCCGACAAAATTACCCGTATTGCCATCGTGGACGCGAACAGATGCAAACCGAAGTGATGTGCCCAAGAATGCAAAAAGTGTGTTCAAATACTGTCCTTTTATTTGGTTACAGGAATTTATGTGCGTTCCAGTCATGTCCCGTCGTCAAAATGGGTGAATAGAGTGTGGACAGAGTCTAACGGTGGCCAATATTGTCTCCCCAGGAAAACTTTGCATAGAAGTCAAATCAACAGACAAAATCGCCTTCATCTCCGAATTTCTGTGCATTGGTTGTGGTATTTGCGTTAAAAAGTCGAACTCCCGTACGTTTCGCAATCAATATCTTCCTGACATGCTAATTAGCTGCAGGAATTTATGTGCGTCCCAGTCATGTCCCGTCGTCAAAATGGGTGAGTAGAGTCCGGACAGAGTCTAACGGTTGTCTATATCGTCTCCCCAGGAAAACTTTGCATAGAAGTCAAATCAACAGACAAAATCGCCTTCATCTCCAAATTTCTGTGCATTGGTTGTGGTATTTCCGTTAAAAAGTCGAACTCCCGTACGTTTCGCAATCAATATCTTCTGACATGCATGTATATAGGTGTCCCTTTGAGGCCATCGCAATCATCAACCTACCAATGAACTTGGAGTCGCAGGTTACACACCGTTATACAGCATCGTCCTTTTAATTGGCTGCAGGAATTTATGTGCGTCCCAGTCATGTCCCGTCGTCAAAATGGGTGAGTAGAGTCCGGACAGAGTCTAACGGTGGTCTATATC